TTCCATATGGGTGTTATAGTTCACCATAAAAACTTTTTAAAAACACATGAATGTATTGATAATTGAAACTAAAATAATAGTAAGGTAACACAGACAGATGAAATTGTTACAAACCACTATTACACTAAATATGACATTAAATGTGAAAAGACTAAATTCTGCCATTAAAAGAAAATTTCAAGTTATGTTAAACAACAAGACTTAGCTATATGTTGTTTACAAAAAGCACTTTTAAAATAATCAAGAAATTATGAAAATACAGAGGTAAGCAGAGAAATAGCAAGAAAATGTAAATTAGAAAGGAGTGTCAAAGTAGAAATTAAATTTAAAAGCATTAAAATGTATAAAGACACACTGTGTAATGAAAAAAGACACTGTTTATGAAGAAGACATGTCATAAATCTGTATGCCTCAAACAACACAACAGCAAGAAATGTAAATAAAAGTTAAACTGCAATTATAACGACAAAAATATAGTTATACAGAAAGGCTTCAATATACCTTCTGAGCCTGATTAAGAAAAAAGGAAGACAGAATAAAATTATATAAGTTTAGGAATAATCAAAAGAGATATAGATACAAAAGAGATTTTTTTTTTAATTTATATAATCTATGGCAACAAATTTTAAAAATTGGATAGTTTCTTATTAATGACTCTGATAACAGGGAAAACTCAAGTAGGCCAATTATAACAGACTACATTGGAATGATGGTTAAAGGCCTACCATTGTGAAGGTACCAGGACCAAGTGATTTTATAATTTATTTCAGCTAACTTCTATATTATTTAAATTATTTCCAAATGAAAGAAAGGATAGAAAATTTCCTAAATACATTTTACGAAGCCAGCAAAACTTTAACACCAAAACCTAATATAGTACTAAAAAAAAAGCAAAAGAAAACATAATCTCACTTAAAAATATAGATGTAAAAATTCTAAATAAAATATTGGCAAGCAATACTCAGAAATGATTCAAAAGAATAACATCCTGTGACCAATCAGAGTTTCATTCAAGAAATGCAAGAGTGAAATTCAATGTGATGAATATTTACCAAAATCAACAGCAAACATCATTCTACTTGTGAAACAATAAAACCATTTCAAATAAAATCAGAACACAGACTGGGATGCCCACTATTGCTGTTATCACTCATCATTGTCTCGATGAGTCTAGCAGATGAAATAAACACTAAAAAAAAGATACACTATTTTTGCTAATTACAAAATTGTATATTTGAAAAATCCAATAGACCACAGTTTACAAAAAAAAAAAAAAAACCTAGTAGAAGTAATGAGAATATTTGATAAGGTAACTCTATGATATAAAATAAATATATAAAAGTCATCACATTTTTACTATTCTGGCATAAGTACCCAAAAACAGAAACGAGAAAAATATTTCATACCCAAGGGTGATAAACTATTGGTATGGACTGAATGTCGGTGTCCTCCCCAAAATTCATATGTTGATATCTAATCCTCAATATGACGATTTTTGGGAAGGGGGCTTCTGGGAGGTGATTGGGTCATGAAAGTGGAGCCCTCATAAATGGGATTGGTGCCCTTATAAGAAGAGGCCAGAGCGACAGCTAGCTCTCTTTCTACCACATGAGGATACTATGAGAAGTCGGCAGTCTGGACTCCAAGCAGAGAACTCTCACCAGAACCTGCCCAGGCTAGCACCCTGATCTCGGACTTCCAGGCTTGGGAACTGTGAAAATAAATTTCTGTTGTTTATAAACCACTCAGGCTATGGAACTTTGTTTTAGCAGCCCAAACTAAGACAAATACTTAGGAATAAACTCTGGAACTTTGGAACTTTGTTTTAGCAGCCCAAACTAAGACAAATACTTAGGAATAAACTCAGCAAGAAAGGCACACAACTTTTATGACAACTATAAAATCATACTGAAGGATAAATTTTAAAATCTGAGCAAATGAAAAGACATCCATATTTTTACATGGGAGGATTTAATATCAGGTCTCTTAATATCATAAAATGGGAATAAAAAAGCAAGTAAAATATGGGTTCCTAAAAGAGAAAAGGGACATTAGGTAAAAGCTGAGGAAATCTGAGTGAACTATGGACTTTAGTTAATACTAATGCATCAATATTGGTTCATTAATTGTAACATATGTATTATACTAATGTAAAATGTTAATAAGGGAAACTGGGTGAAGAGTTTATGAAAACTCTCTGTACTATCCTCACAATTTTTCTGGAAATCTAAAACTTCTAAAACAAAGTTTATTTTAAAAAAGCATATATGCAAGACAATCAGGAAAGTTTAAAAAAAAAAGTTCAAGTAAATGGATAAAAGTATCTTAAAGTTTAGAGAGATAAATTCCCAAGAAAACAAATAAATGAATGAAAAAGAATAGTGAAAGGAAATATACTATAAAGCCACTTTAATTAAATCAATATAGAGTACTAGTCTAGGAATATATAAGTAGATCAATCAGTAGAACAGAACAGAGAATCCAAAAATAAAATTCAGTTTATATGAGATTTTAATATAAGACAAAAATGTATTTCAATTCAATGGAAAAAAAAGCAATTATCTGATAAATGGTGCTGGCACACTGGCTACTCATCTGGCAGAATATAGTCAGTTCCCAATCTCATATTATAAAATTAAAAAATTCCAGGTGGAGTAAATATGTAATGTAATAAATAAAGCTTCGAAACATTAGAAGGAAATGTAGGAAACAGCACTTACAATCTGTTTATTAACCAGGAAGAAAAGATAACCATATTTGAGTTTATAAAAATAGAAAACAATTAATGTTGCAAAAACTATCATAAACAAAAGTAATTAAGAAGCAAACAATAGATTTGGGGAAATACTTGCAAAAGAGATAATATATAATGAGATAACAGATAATTAGTAATCGTCACCAGTATACAGAGTTCTTAAAAACTGGCAGAGGATGTGTGGCTCCACAGTGTAGTGGTTAGCACGTATGCTTTACATACAGAAGGTCCTGGGTTCGCGCTCCAGATGGAGCCACAGACCATACCCCTGGGTGTGCCAGGCGCCTTCAGAGATCCTGGGTGTGCCAGGCGCCTTCAGAGTTCTTAAGGGCAATATCCATAGGTCAGGGGTGGAAGTGGGGGGTGGGGGAGAATTAAAGAGAGGAAAAAAAAAATTGGCAAAAGATAAGCAACCCGATGGAAAACTGGGTAAAGGATGTGAAAAGAGAGTTCATGAAAACAAATCCACAAAGCCAAAGCATGAAGATGCTCAAACTAACTAATTTGAAAAATGAAAATTATAGTAAAAAAAAATCATATATCACTCTACACCCAATCAGATAAAAGAAAAATTAGAGAGCAATAATACCAATTGCTGACAGGATAAAGAAAAAAAGTGAAAATTGTTTACAACTGTTTTGAAAGCAGAAATATTTTTAATAGTACGCAAATGATAAAAGTAAGATGCAGAGAAGAGCATACATCATAATTTCATTTTTTAAAAGTGAACATTGATCACAACCCAAAACTGTATGTGCACCTGAGTATGTGTGTGAAAAGTGAACATGGAGACAAACACAGGAAACTCACCAGATTGCTAACAGATTACTGGCAGTGTAAGGGGAGAGAAGGGTGTGCAGGGGTTGGAAAGAAAAAATGGGCAGAATGTATAATATGATTACACGGATGTTAAAGAAATTCTTCAAAAACCTACTACAACATGGATTAGGATATAACGTGATGGGCATGACCGTCTCTCTCCCCATTCCCCATTCTCAAACTACCTCAGTCATTTGCATTTCCTCGTCCACTGAACTATTAGTCCTATAAAACATAGGTCTCGCAATCTTATCTTTTGTGCAGTTTGTGACAATCTTACTAAAAAATACTGTTTTCCATTGACTGTTACCCCACATTCTACAAAACTGAATTTCTGGACTCCACTTTTCAAGCTGGGGTGCAGTTTTACAAACAAATGCAAGTACCTATACATAAAGAAATTAAGAAAAATAAGGGGTTGGTGGTTGAATATTTACTGATTGTTAGGTGTTCATCAAATGAAAAAACTAGCTATAGAAAAATAGGCATAAAGTATTCTATTTTAGTAAAAACAAACAAAACCCTAATGATAAATGTATGCTTAAATACTTTTAAGTGAAAGAGAAAGCTTCGGAAGGCCTTTGGCTCAGATTTCATAAAAGGGCGGGAAGTAGAGGGGAAGGGGCAGATTACTAGCTTTGCTTTTATACCTCTGCATCTTATTACTTCACTTATTACAATAAACAGAAATCTGAAAACATTAAATAGTGAAACCAAAGCTTAATTGCAAACAATATAATAAAATAAATTGGGTATCGGTTAGTACCTACCTCATAAGACATGTTGTGAAGATTAAATGAGATAATTTATATAAAGTGTTTAGCATATTGCTTAACATGTTGCAAATGCTCAATAAATGTTAGCTACAGAGAGCAGTAGAATTGATGAAGCTGAAAAGATAAGGCCTCTGAAAAAGACCAGGCACTTTTTTCTATACTACTGAATCTGTTCTCTTTTGGTATGCAAGGATTCATATTATGGTAAACATGCAGCTCATTAAACACACTTTCATTGACAGTATACATGAAATTACTAGATAAATAAGCACTTAAACAATAAAAAGGAGATGGCAATCTTTTTTGCCTTGATGGCTATTTTAAGAACTTCACAAGGCACTATGCTTCTATCACAACCACTTCAGGTGACAGCTTTGAAGGCCTTGGATGAGGAGACTTAGAATACAGTTTGTACAGATTGGAGAGTTATGTTATTGATCTTTCTGAGGGCCTGTCCAAGAGGGAAATCCACTCCTAAATGTAGAAATTTCAGTCCCAATTCTGAAAATTTCCTTGCTGGTCTCTCTAAAAGCATGTAAATTTAGTTATAACCTTCAAACTGAATTTGGTCCATCAATACTATTCTTATTGTCCAATGAAACATTAAAATAAATTCACGAATTATGTATGTTATTAATCTTGCTACTTACATGGAATTGACTTTTTCTTCAGGGCCTTGCACTTGGCCTGTCACAGTGCCTTTGCTGGTATTCTTCACCCAGCCAACCACTCCTATTTTCTTAGCTTCATCTTCTGTGTACTGGTTCAGGAGAGACAAGAGAAAGGAAGTCCATCATCAAAAGTCTGAATTCATAATATACTTGATTCTAATATTTAAAAAGTACTAAGCTGATAATTGTTTTCCAAGAATATAGTCTATGCCAAAAAATTGTGCAGGTAACCTACAGCAATACCTCTATTTATAAGAACCTTCACTTAAATGTATTTTTTTATTATTATTAAATTCCACTTTCAATGAAGACAGCACATTATGGGAAAATAAACTGATAGTGGGAATTACTTCAGAAAACATTTTCCATGATATGTTTGGGATCCATAAAATTCAGTTGCCTTGCTCTCATGTCTGGTAACACTAAATTGCATTGTTAATTTGGGTTCCAAATGATGATCACTCTGAAATTCTCAATCACTGAGGGAAAATATACAGTTATGGTCAATAGGAAGTAATGGATTAATATATTCCGATGTTTTCTGTTGGCTCTGAACTTGCCACACCAATGTTATAATTCTCTATTGGTAAATTTATTTCTCCTATTATACTCAAGAGTTTTTTTTTTTAATACCTTTTCTGGGTTCCAAATTCAGTCATGTTATCTGCAAATGAAAACCTAGCAACATTTTGATTTTGAATTATATTAACATCATACTAAAATTCTTATGGATCTAGACCTTTTAAAAAACATGCTTTTCTCCTGTTTGGAAGGCAGGGTGACCAAGATCTCTATACTCCACATCCCCAACTGAACAAAAGCATCACAAACACGGATGGTTACAGCTAGGATGGTTACAGCAAGGGTTGATGTAGGAGCTCTCACAGGTAATAATAAAAAAGGAGACAATCTGAACTGTAGGGGATGCAACTATCTCAAAATGTGGAGACTCTACAGGTGAGAACATGCTGAACACTCAGAAGTTAGAAACGGAGAACTAATCTAGTGACTGCCAGCTCAGATAGTAGGTGAAAATACAAGCCATATTTAATTTTTAGGAAATGAGTATATTCATAAAATACAAATTTAAAGGCAACTTCTGAAAACCTGGGGAACATGACGGTATGCAACATGAGCTTTTTTGTTTTGCAATTCGAGATTTTTATACCCTTGCCTAGAGGGTTTCTTCCATTTAAAACAAGTGGAAAATCTCATACTTTGTATTTAATATACCTGATCAAAATGTTTAATTTGATCACTGAAAAAGAGGTAGTTTTGAAATTCATAGAAAACATTAACTAAAAGCTAAGAAGGCTGTAATGTTTTTAATACACTACCTTTTAAAGATAGCTTTAATAAAAATCTCACCAGTAATTTGTATGTGAAGGAATACAAATATGTCTACATTTGCTGTCAAGGACAGGAAGCAAGCAGCAGACTAGCACTAAGTAGGAAACTGTTCTATCTTTGTGATTAGAAACAAACATGGTTGGGGTGGGGGTAGGGGGTGGTGGCAAAAAAATATAATGAACATATTGTATTGACTTACCATTCTGAAGCAGACACCTGTATAAAAGATGAAAAGAAATGTCAGCTTGTCTACCTTTAAAAATATTATAAACATCCTAACTTAACTTTCATCTATTTTGTTAAATAGTAACTAAATGAAACTAACAAAACTTTTAATATCTGAATGTGTTCAAAAGGTGTTTTTAAAAATTATTTTCTTTTAAAATAAAAACAGAAAAGGAAGATTGCTTTTGGAGAAAAAAATAATCTAAATATTTCATTTCGTTTCATCTGAATATTTCGTTCAAAGTATAATGAAATGCCAAACTGTATATTTATTCTACTTTACAATGCTAAATAAAACAAAATGCCTATTACAAGGACAGCTGAGTATATTTGACATAAAATTTACCTATCCTCAGCTCTTAGAATTTCTTCTTCAAGTACAAGGGCTAAATCTAAGTTTAAATAAAATATTTGTTGTAATTTTACTGCCACATTCTGGAACAGGCAAAACTCCAGGGACAGGAAACTAATCAGGGGTTGCCAAAGGCCGGGTGCAGGCAGAGAGAAGTGCTGCAGAGGGGCACATGGGAATATGGGATAATGAGACTGTTCTACATGTCAGCTATAGTGGTGGTTACATGACTGTATGTGGATTTCAAAATTCACTGAACTGTACACTAAAAGGGTAAATGTTACTGAATTAAAATGATACCTTAATTTTTAAAAATTAAAAAACCTTGAAAAATAACACGGGATAGATCAAACCAATCTCCAGAGAGGTCAAAAGATATTGCTTCTGCATACAGCAATTAAGCCTGGTTAAGAAAATACAGAAGAAAGAATCAGTGACTTGGGCAATTTTATGTAATTTTATAAGTGGATTTATAATAATAAGAGATATCACTTGTTCCCTGATCATAGTGTATTGAGGTACCAAATGAACATGAAGAAAAAGAGTATTTAAGCAATATAGACAGGATAATATCACAAATGGAATTTTTGTGGGGCTATAAAAAGATTTTAAAAGATATATATACTGTGTGGAGGAATGATGAGTGGGAGGTATCGATCTGAAGGGAAATCGAAAAGGCAATCTCTTATATAGAGGGAAAGACATTAGCTAGTAGATTAAAAAAAGGAATTGGCAGAAAAGTGAGAAACTTCAGTTAAACCAGACCATGTAGAAGACAGACAACATAACAGAAAACAGGCAGAACTGTGCAGAAATGTGCAGTCGTTTTATCCTAAGAGCGAGGAGATCTCACAAGACGCTAACCGAGTTGAAGGTTTTGGTCAAGGCTGCTCTGTCCACATTCCCCTCTGAGTTTCTCAGCAGTGAACGGCCCTTTATGATGTTGGCATTATGAAAAGAAAGTGCATGCGACTGAAGTAAACAGAAAGTGGAAACATCGAAGAGTGATCCATGGACCAGCAGCACCAGCAGCACCTGAGAGATTTTAAGCTTTCCTTCCTTTTTTTTTTTTTTTTTTGTTGGGGGTTAGGGGGATGACATTTTTTAAAAATTGAGATATAGTTCACATAACATTACATTCGCCCTTTTCAAATGTTCAAAGTATACTAAATACACAGAGATTTTTTTTAGAATATTCACGACATTTTGCAACCAGCACCACTATCTAATTCCAGAACATTTCCATCACCCCAAAAGGAATCCCTCCCTTACTTTTCCCTTTAGCAGTCATTCCCTTTATCCCATGTCCCCTATCCCTCAGGGAAGTCAGGGCCAAGGCCTCTGTGATTTCCTTGGCCTTTCCCTCAAGGAGTCCGCTGTAGCTCCAGTCATTATATTTACCCTACAATCAGGAAGAGGGAGGGTACAAGGGGAAAACCCCTGGCTAAGTCAGCGCTCCCCTCCACCCCCACCCCCAAGCCTCAGCCAAGGACTGGGCTGATGTAATCCTTCCCACCTCTAGCTGTAAAACAAGGCACCATATAACCTCCCTGACTTTTCCTATCACTCCACACCAAAAAATTCTGCAGCAAAGATCATCTTGAAGCACTGCATCCAGAACTGAATAGTTGAGCTCCCTCTAGATTTTACAACTTATTTCTGGAGGAAAGCTTCTTTGCTCTTGTGATAGTTCCTTCTTTGAGGAGGAATATCCATTAGCAGGACACCCCTGGCCACTCTCTACACTCTCTACCTGATCCTGACTCCTCAGAAATATGCAGGGACTTATCTAACGCGTTAGTGTGGAGGGAGAAAAAGGTACATAGCCTGACTGCTTCCTCTTCCTCCTTCTCCTGGGAGGGAGTTACCTCAGGGATTATACCTTCTACTCTGCCAGTGGGGGAGGCCTGCCTGTGCCTGGCTGGGTATGTTTCATTCTGCAATACAGATTATTATAAAGTCCACTTATCTGAAGATACACAACAAATCCCCAAGACTCTGCTTTACTCTTTGTCTTACTTGTCAATCAATAACTCACACAATGAAGGGGGGTGTTATTTATTCAGACCCTCAACCATAAAACCTATTTTAAAGCCTTAGAAGGAATGTGCATCAAGAGGTGTCAGGACCTCCAGCCCATTAACTTTGTGAAGCAATGAACCATGTGGGAATTAACCCTTCGAAGCTCCATAATCCACTTGGAATGTTCTCAGAATCTTTCTGAGAGTCCTGATCCCTAGTTTGAAGCATACTTTGCAACAGAGGGAGGTACATATAGAAAAAAAGGAAAAAGTGAACGTGGAGGCAGAATTTCTGCAGTTTATTGGCACTGGATGGAACAGAGCACTCACGGGGCAAGGCCTGTCTTGGAGAAGATGCTTCTCTGGGCTTTTGTGGCCTCTCCACATTGCTTCCACCTCACTTGTTAAAGAGAAGGGAAGCTGACATGACATGCAGGTTTTTTACAGACACGTTGCTCTGGGAACTGGGACACACATCAGCCCCTTCAGTTATGAAAAACTCAAGCACAATATGCTGGAGTTAATCAGCTGCAACTGTACCTCACTTTGTGGAAAGGTGTCAGTGAGAAACTCTGAGGTGAATACGTGCAAAGCAAATCATAGTTTATGTCTACAAAGAAATACTGACATTTAAAGAACTCGATGAATTTTAAACATCAGCATCCTTTCATGTGAAATCAAATTTTTCTATTGTAAAGTACCCCTTCATTCTGGGTTCTGACTGCATGTCAATTTTGAATGCAGTAAGGCATCTAGTTGCCACCTTACAAAGCAGCCCTTGATGATTTTAAACATCTTTCATTGTAAAGAAGGTCTTCTTTATATGGAATAAAATTCTGCCTCACTTTAACCTTTCTCCATCGATCCAGGGTCTGTCCCTGGGGCCACACACCGTGGCATCTTTTTAATAGTTGAAACAGCCATTGCACTACTGTTTCTTCTCCAACCCAACTACCCCAAGCACTTCGATTTAATTTGAGACACTTTAGAAGTCTCCACCAGAAGTACAGCTTGTAGGGGATATAAAAACAAGCCACCAGCTTGACCTTCAAAATGCTGTCCTTATTGTCTAATGGCAGACACCTATATGAGGATACAAATAACTCCATTGGAAAACAGAATGGATTAAAGAGAAGTAAAAACAAGAAGTAGAACAGAACTATAAATGAAATGCTATAGGAACCAAGGTGAGAAAAGGAATTAGAGTTAGCCATATTTATGTTTCTGGACTGTAATGTACTAAAATATTCAACCTCTGAAACAACTTTTCCATTTAGCTGTCTACATAAGGAAAAATGTTTACACCTAAATTATGTGGTGTCTGACAAAGCTATTTAATGATTCATCCCAATTTCATTAGAAACAATCTTTTAAAAAATTGCTATTTATTTTGGTAGTCCAATACGCTACTCCTATTCTAAAACTAAATTAATACTGTCAAAAACAAGCTGCTGAATTTCCCGAGCACAGATCCCAACAGATTGCCACAATCCATTTCCATAGGTATCATCAGTATTCATCTGTGAGCTGGTAAAGCATCAAAGAATCTACACACAACTTAATCAATCAAACTTTTAGATTATATTATTCTAGATGTAACTGTAATAAAATAGTTATAGGAACATTATAAGCCATGCCACGGTTACAAACGCTCTAAAAACACAGAAGGTCAGTCCCTCTCTTCTGTATCCCTCATCCCAAAGCCCCCAGTGCACCAGAAGTTGGTGGGAAAAACACATATGGAGCTTAGAGAATGTGGAGACTAAAAAGTAGAGACTGAAAGGGAGAGGAATAAAAAAAGTAACTCAACGGTGGAGAAAGCTGACAAACTAGATCTCAGCTAGGTGCTCAAGGTTCACATCAACAGTGCTAAGTCGTACTGATAGTGCATACCCTTGGTATAGTGTGATGAGAGTGGCATTTTACCTCTGTGGTCTTCCTCTCAATAACCCATAACCTCAGTCTTAGCATGACAAAAATATCAGACAAATCCCAATTGGGGAGCATTCTAAAAAGTAAGTAACCTCAAAGTACTCCTCAAAACTGCCAAGGTCATGGAAAACAAGATAAGTCTGAGAACCATCACAGCCTAAAGAAGCCTAAAGGGACAAAATGACTAAATGTAAAATGATGTCCTGGAAGAAGTCTGGAAAAGAACTTTAGGTAAAAACTAAGGAAATTTGAATAAAGTATAGACTTTAGTTAATAAAAATGTATCCATAATGGCTCACCAGTCATGAGAAATATATGGCAAATGTTTCATACTAATATAAGATGTTAACAATTGGGGAAACTGTATGTAGGGTATACAGGAACTCTATATTATCTTTCCAACTTTTCTATAAATCTAAAACTATTCTAAAACAAACAAAAAATATTTTTAAAAAGTAGAGGAAGAGAAGCAGCAATGGAAAGCAGCAGTATGCCAAGGACTTTGCAGATGGACCTGAGAAGCAAATTTACTATTTGTAATATCATTTCTATAAATGTATTTTCCTGAATTTCAAGCGACCAACTTAAAACTAATTCTTGGAATACAATTTGTTTGTAAATTAGAGTGTATGTATTCGAGAACAAAGCACGATATATTTGACCCTTAAAACATATGGATTGTCATTTTGTTACCAAGGATGTTTTAAACTCAAACAATCTAAATGGAAATATAACAACACATCTTGTTTTTGATGGGAAAATATTGTCATAAACTTCATGAAGCCAATTTAATTCAGTGATCAGTTTTCCAGGACAGGATAGTTAAATCATTTTTCATTTTTACCATGTTCATTTCTATGTCATTGAAACCATTTTCATTGGGAATATTTTCCATTTTATTGTTTTTATGGTAATTTTATCACTTTATATTTTGTCCATATTAAATATTGTCAATGATAGCTTCCTCCACTGTAAATTTACTGTCATAGCCATTATTTCTAACAAGGCAGTTTATATTAAGATTTTATTACTCTATACTTTTAAATGAAAAGTTTACAATGTTAATTTTACAATGTTCCCTTTAATTACTGTCCATTTTATAGTTTTAAAATTAAATTTTTTATTTTGTATTATTTATCATCAATTATTTCATCATAATCATTATGAATTGCATAAAAGTCTAACAGTTTGTATTTATTTTAGATAATCCATGAGAAAACTGTAAGACACAGAGATACAGACTGATATATAGAAATAGTGACAGACAGTGTGAACAAGTGACAGAGAGTGAGTCAGGGGCTGTAGCTTTTGAGTGTGCTGACTGCTTACTGACCAGGTCAAACTTCCTTGGAGCCAAAAGAACCATAAAAACGTCCTCAGGGTCATCTGAGGAATAGTCCAAATGGCTGGGACTAAATGTACTACATCAGCGTATATATGTATTTGGTGCTTAAGTTAGGAAGAAGACAAAATAAAGGTGGAAAGGGTATTGAGAGGAGAATTAATAGGTTATAGTGATCAAGAGCAAGGGCTCTGGTATCAGACTGCCAAGGTTCAAATCTCAGCACCACCACTTAACTCACTATGTAACCTGGGAAAGTTCTTCTCTATGCCTCAATTTCCCCATCTGTTAAATGAGGAAATGGTTGAGGTTACAGGGTAGAGGATTAAATAAGACAATGCATGTAAAATATTGAGTACAGAGCTTGGCACATCCTAAGTTCTCAGCAAATGTTGATGTGTATTTCTGCATATACGTGATTGTGAATTTGTCTCGCAAACTATGCCTTGATAAATTAATAGTATATAAGTACTCTCTTCCATTTAACATTCTGCAAACTATAGGACTTATTGCCCTAAAGCTCATTTTTTAACCCCCACTGTTTTGGGATAGTACTTTTATCTTTGCTATATTTGTGCTGTTGCCCAAAATTGATCTTCATCTACCAGGTGACCATTATATGCACAAAATGTGCAATTATACAGTTAAAATCAATAGTAATACATTATATATTAACAGAAAACATCGAACAATGGGAACATACAGGTTTTAGAGTTAGATGCAGAATTAAATCCCACTTGCCAACTTCGGGCTTATCCAAACCTACTGAACCTCTCTGTACCTGTTTTCTTATTGTTAAGACAAGAATAAGATATATATTTCACAAAATTGTGATAAAGATTAAGTAAATAATAGTAAGATGCTTGGCACATGGAACATACCCAGTAAATGTCACAGATGTACACACACACACACATACACACACATGCACACGCCTTAACTACTGCCACTTTTGTCCAGCAGACCAAATATTTTGTAAGGTGATCTTTGCCACCATGTTAATATTTTATGAAATGTGTTTCAGTGACTTATTGTGGCACTTTTCAATCCAGAGTACCATACCCCTAGATGTACCCAAAGATTTTCTACAAGGTACAAAGCCATGGATTTTAAGGAAATCAATCAGATCCTCAACTTCCATATGTATTCTTTTCTAAAACTGAGTAAGAAGGCATCTGTGCCTGCTGTTTCTCCTGTCCTATCTTCCTTTACACAATCACTCCTCGAAAGAAAGGGTCCTCTTTTTACAAAAGGCATACTCTCACCCACCTTAATCTTACCCTGGCATCTTGCCCCAAAAGTGTAAAAACCTCTAAAGTCCCAAAATAAAAAGATAATTGAACCCTTCCTTTAATCAATATTTCTCCTTATTTAATAGATTTCCAATACAAATTTACCTTTTTAATTAAATATTTATCATACTTTTAAATGTATTTATATTATTTTCATCAATTGTTCTAATAATTGCAATAGTAAGTCAGAAGAAAAAAGACCAATAGAACTTTATGGTCAAAGAAAATTAAGAAAATATATTTATATGTGTATATATATATACACATATAAGTGTATATATATACACTTATAAGTATATGTGTATATATATATACGCACACACATATACTGCACATACATATTGCAGAAAAGTTTGATAGACGATCAATAAGAAACTCTCAAGTGTAACAACAGGATAAAATTGTGGAGGTCGTGGAATGGATATCAAATTCAAAAGGAAAAGGTATGATGTAAAATTTCCCACTATTAAAAATGAATTATGGTAAATATTAAATCACTACCATATTCCTATTCCCTTGGATAAATTCCAGTGATTTAACATTAATTTAAAAATAACAAGTTACAATAAGCCAAACATTACATCCTTTGCAACTATTTAAACTTATGATGAAATAAAAATTAGATAACAATAATTCTTTTAAGAGCTACACGGGGGAAAAGGGTATAATCTCCAACAAAGTGAACCCTCGATCATCCCCTACATGTCCTCTCTGAAATTTATGTCAAGGCCAGTGGTTTCAGTGGCAAGTAACGGGATCACTAGTTCAAGGGTCCTCTCTTATTTTCTTGCCCAAGTTCGTTTCTCCCCCACGGCAGGGGGCCGGAGGTCCTTCCTGTCTCCCGCGGTAGCCCCTCCCTTCCCTTTCCCGGTCCGCCGCTCCTCCCCCCGCCCATCCCAGCTCCCCGGCGCCTGCGCGTTTGCCCTCGTTCCCGCCGCGGCTGCTGTGTCACGGCCCAGCGGAAGTCCCGGCCACAAGGGGAGGGGAGCCCTGGTCTCAGCCTCCTCCCCTTCCACCCCTAACGCCGCTTTGGTCTCCTGTCGTAGCGGGGTCCCCTACCCTGCACTCTCCCGAACACCTCGTAGTCCACGGACTTGAGCCCTGCGGTAGACATGGCGGCAGCGAGTCCTCTGCCGAGAAGCCGGAGCGGGGCTCGGGGCGCAGCGACTGCGGCGGCCGCGAGAGGGAAGGGGCACATGGGACAGTGTGGCGCCCCCCGCGCTTGTCTTCGGTCCCGGACGCCGGCGTGCCGGGGTCACGCGTCGGGAGACGGCAAATGAGACTGCGAGGCGTGGGAGCGAGGACGGCCCCGCACGACCGGGAGAAGAGGCCGCTGGCGCCCGGGCCTGCGTTCCCTGCCCCGCTTCCGGTGGGGCCGGACTGGCCTCCGGCGGGGATGCGTCCGCCGCGCGCTCCCTACGATTTACTGCTCATTTCTGAAAGTTTGTCAATACAAGCCGGAGGCTGTGCCCACATATCACTAGTTCGATACCCTAAAATGATAGCTTCTGAGATGAAAGACCTGCTAGCTTGGTGGTTAGAGTATTTGGTTAGTGAATTCTTATTAAATGTTTAGGCGACTGCCAAATATATCAGGCGATTTTGCACCAATTCTTAAGGTGACGTTGGCATCCTTTTCATCTCTATTGAGTCATAAAGGCTTGAATCCATATTCTAAATGGGTTGTGTTATATTCTGGGTCAAGAAACTTTAAAACCTAAACCGTTAGTAGAAACAACAAAAAAATAAGTTATCTGCTGTTCACTCATACAGTTTTTTTATGGTTTTGATTATTCAGCAACATCTCAATTGCCTAGAAGGGTAAAGCAGTTTATGCTTACAAAATTTTACTTCCTGGTAAGCTAATATTCTTAAGGCGACCCATCACCCTAAAGAATCTGGATACAGCTATTGATAATCTGCTGCCCCCTAGAATTCAAAATCCTTTTACTTGTGATAATATGCATTTTGCAACTTATTTGTTGGCTTCAATACCTTGACATATGTCTCTGCATCTGGCCATAGAGTTAAAATAATCCTCTGCAATCTGATTCAGTACTAGGTGCCAATTCCATTAGGGAACACCAAAAATCATCTAGAACTCGGTTAGAATGTGGTTAAATCATTTTAAAGTAAAATATATTATGAAAGTCCTATTTAGATAATTTCATGTAATGAGTATCCTGGTTTATTACAGAGACCTCACAGTTTGCATCTTCCTCTCATCTCCCTTTCATCTTCCTTTCAGTTTATTTCATGCAGACTCTAGAATCGACATACATCTTATGCTATTCTTTTCAATGACATATCTTCAGTCTCTACACTGCATTCCAAATAAAGCTGAAAGTCTTCAGCCTCCACTAACCTAATATTACCTGTTTATCCCCATCCTATCAGTTATAGGTAACCTGTAGTCGAGACACTGGATTATTCTACTCTCTGAACACACTCTGACCTTTAAAAAAAAAAAAAAAATCTTTGCTCTTGAATCTACTTTATTTGGAATACCTCCTCCTACTCTCAAAATCTTGTTCAGTTAGTTGCCTTTGCAAGTATTTCCCAGATTTCATCTTAATTATTTAGTGTCTTCCCTACTAGTCTTGTGCCTTCCAAGAAGAAAGATCTAAAACTGGGTTGAGGTCCTGTCACTATCACTGATCCTGTCACTGACTGGAAAGACATTTTTCTTTTTCTTAATCAATCTTTGATTTTTCTCCACATTTATCTGAGTGCTCCTTGCCAGTTATTGTGTAGTTTTATTGTAATTTTAGAAGTGCTGTAGCAACAATTGACATTTGCTTAGCTGAAAAATTGACTATGTCTGCCAATAGTAGAACATTAGCAAACAAATTTTTATATACCATTTTAGCATGGATTGCCAATAATATGTGATTTTAAGACTTTAAGACATTCTAAGCAAATGTTGCTAATATTTAAGCTAATTTGAATTGAGAAATATCTATACCTAATTAGAGAAATTTTTGAAAATAGAAAAAAATCATTCATAATCTTGACATGAGCTTTGTCATTTTTGTATACTTTTCATATATTTTTTAAATAGTTAAAATCATAGTATAAATTTAATTTTTATTCTTTTCCAATGTTTTAGTCTTTCCAATGAATGTTTGAGTAATTTCATAATAATCTATTTAGTGAGTATAACCGTAAATTTACCTACCAAGTCCCTGTTGTTATATATTCAGGTTGGTTCTAATTTTTCACTACCATAAAAAATGTTGTGAAGGAAATATTTGTGCATGTAGCTTCCTTCCCATATTTTTTTAATTATTTGGAATAGAAGTTAAAATACCAAATCAAAGGGTATAAGCATGAATCGTTCTGGATATATATTGCCAAATTGTCTTGCAAAGGGCTGTATTAATTTAAGTATACCACTATGGACACTGTATGAGTGTATGATTATTTGGCTTCTGATGCCAAAATGTAAGGAAGGTCTTTACATACTATACGTGATTAAATTAGATGAGAACATTTTCATTTTGTTAACCTGAGCAACAGCTTTGGGATAACTAGGCTCTGTGTTGCTACTACTGGTTGAAATTAAAACTTAGTTAAATCATTCCCTTCCTTGAACCCTTTGTGTGTGATATAGGATCATGTTTAAGGTAATACTTAGGAGAGGAAAATCTTGCCTATATTATATGGGTGTGAAAAATGACCAGGCCCCAGAATCTGTGAAATAGATACAGACAATACAGTCTCTGTGTCCAAATGATGTTGAACCGAAGAGGTATCTACCTGTAAATCTCTAATATGTCACTACAAAGAGAATGATTCCTAAAGTGATTTCTCAGAAATTTGATATTACCATATAATCGATTTCAGAAACAACCAAAATTACCCTATCCATCAACATATTTCTACCCCTGAAATATTTTTGTAACCATTATGTTGAACAAGGAGGACTCATATTGTTTATTTGCACTATTAAAGAGGCCTAAACCAATTCAATGATTCTCTCATGGAAGGAATACTTTATAGGTAAAGAAATGATTATATTATTGCAGGAAGCGACACCTGAGAGAGGAAATTAGACGCTCAGACAACTTTGTTAGAGGAAGGAGAATTCATTGGCCGGCGGAGCGCATGGGGTCAACAACACCATGCAAGAGCTCCCCTTGGTTAGATTTAGCTTAAATACCTCTGCGAGTGTCCATACAAGGGGTGTGTGATTCCTTTGGGTTCTACATGCGCTTCGTGACTCAGAATGGGGAGAGGGAGCTTCGGGTTGGGGATTGCAAGGGGGGAGGAATTTTCGGACCACTGGTCTTATCTATTTACAGGTCATTTTGCTCTGCAGAACCCTTGACCTTGGTATTATCAACACTGTTACAGGATTCTCAGACTGGGATACTGAGGCTATAAGCAGAAAGTAGCACTTATTGATGCTGGCACTGGCTCAGCGGATTCCTATCCAAAGACTGAGTTCTAATTGTAACATATCAAGCAGTTTTACACAGTCTTGTTATTCCTACACAGCTACAGAGATAAGGAAGAACATTAACTGAATAGCAAGCTATGAATCCACAGATGTGAGCTGGAGAGTTCTTGAGGCGGGGGAGGTAGCTATGGGAAAACATGTTAGCTGGAGCGTCCTGGAGCCAGGGAGAAGACAGTCTGGAGTGGACGTTAATTGGCTGAGTCGGTCATTTCTGCAAGGCCTTTCCTTTGCATTTTTTCAGATGCCTCTTCTCCTCTCTCAATATAATTATTACCAAACTGGATCCAAGATCATTGGACAAAAGACTGTTAGTCAGCTGAGGAAGTAAGCTACCCAGAAGAGGCTTTAATCTTATTATAATTTGTCAAAAAATTGCTTAAGCATTTTATCAGGAAAGCATATTTCTTCCCAGGAGATTCTGTCCCAGGTTTGAACCAATTTTTCTTTATCATAATCTAATTCATTATTCAAAACTCAGAAGTACATTTAACATTAAAGCTTATTCCCTCTCCCTGCTTGATACTGTTTAGACTAGGTTTGGGAGAGGGCATGATTGATTCCTCCCCTTGCCTTAGTTTCCCCTCCTGGGTGTGAATTGGAAGGAACAGGTAATTTTGGAATCCAGTTTGGGCTCTCTAGGGTTGGCAAGTATTCAAAGCTGATTAGTTCTTTTACAGGATTCTTTGGGGAGTGGGAGGCTCAAAGCTTTTCGCTACCAGGTTTTCCTGACTGCTGCTCCCTTGATAGACAATGTCTTTACTCACACCCCCATCCCAGTTTCTGTCTAGAATGCTACACCTCCTCCCTCTTTCTGCTGAGAGAGACTAGCGGCATTCAGCAAGAAACCTACCTGAATGGGATACCTTTTAAAATAATCACTGGACCAGATCTCACCCTCCCGTCACATCTAATTGTGGAGGCTCATATCTCTGCCCTACCACTGATAGAAGTCGCAGTTGGCAATGAATTGGCAGATATTATTCAGGTATCTCCAGTCACAGCCTTTCCTCTTCACTTTCCACAGGTATGGGTCAAATACCAGTCTCTTCTAGCTCCAAGGAGTAAATGCCAAGTTCTCAAAGTGGTTCTTTTAAAGACCTTCTTACTAGGCTTGTGGCATGGAGAAACACCTGGTTTCACTCTCCCATGGTGGCAGAGGAATGGAGAGGGAAAAGCCACAAATTTCCAATAACTTTCCCCAAAGAAATCCTCTGGAGCCTGAGGATTTTTTAAAAAACCGGTTTTAAAAATCCCTTTTGCATGACATTGGTAGTCTAGCACCTCATCTTGAAATCTGTGTGTACTTACTGTTTTGTTTTCAGTCTCAAGTCTCACTTTTTAAAATAAAAATCTCATTTTTTAAATCAATAGAATTCAGTATATACTGTATAAACCTTGTTTGGATTCTGATTTGAATATGTAAATTGAAGAAGATATTTTTGAGACCATTGGAGAAATTTAAACACAGGTGGACTATTAAATATTATAGAATTATCTTTAACTTTGTTACATATAATAATAGAATTTTTTGAACAAGCCTTATCCGTTAGAGTATATATTGAAATATATAAGGGTGCTATAACTTGATATTTGGGACTTGGTTTAAAATCCTTGGGACAGTTTAGATAGAGTAAATTTACTAAATTGTTGACAGTTATTAAGCTGGGTCATAGGTACATAGGGATTCACTATAATATTCCCCAATTCTGTGCATGTTTGAAATTTTTATGTAAAGTTTTAAAATAAAATTTAAAAAGAGACCATTTTCATTTTATAAAATATGTGACCAATAATCTTCAAAACTGTCATGGTCATGAAAAACAAAGAAAGCCCAAGAAACATCTGAGAGTTGCCCTAATGAGGCATGATGACCAAGTGTAATGTGTGTTCTGGATGGAATTCGGGATCAGAAAAAAAGACTTTAGATAAAAATGGAGGAAATCTGAATAAAGTAGACTTTAGTTAATAGTAAGGCAGCAATATTGGTTCATCATGACAAAAGTATCATACTAATGTAAGATATTAATAATGGGGAACTGGATGTGGAGTATATGGGAACTCTGTACTATCTTCATAATTTCACAAATCTAAAAAAGTTTACTTTTCAAAAGTCCATTTTAATATCAGTTATATATTTGTGTAATGAAATTTCAAAATAACTTC